TTCTAAATACAATTACTTGGTCTTTTAGTTCTCTCTTTATTATTATAGGAAACTATGGGGTATTTTTTTTCTTTAGATTACAAACTAGTTTTAAAAAGACTTGTAATGAACAATTTAATTAGATTGGTTTTGGCTTGCCTAAAAGCTTAAGAAGGTATTAATATTCTAATCAAAAGTCTGGGAAAAGCATTCTTAGAATAAAAAAAAAAAGGAAAGAAAATCTTCATTCTTATGCTTTAAGAACCAGGGAAGCTGTCAAAGAATATGAGGTAACTCTTAAAAAAGCAATTGTTAAATAAATGGGTTGGCCACAATGAGCCAACACCTTGTTTGCCACAGACTTGAGGTTCCCACCTGACTCTCGGCATATTTATTCAGCTGCTTAAGATTATTTTTTACTCATATGTCAAAAGAACAACAACCTGGAATTTTCAGACTTTTAATGGCAACAGAAGGAACTTACCTATAATAAATATTTTTCTTTACTCTCATGCATTCTTAACCCATGGCTGTTCTGAGTCAATGTTTGCCTTGTATTCAAAAAATAATAATGAAGATTTGAGTAAAACATATTCATTAAGCAATATTTGAAAGATATACCAAGAGCTGTTACATTATCTCATTTTATCCCTACAAAGATCACGTGTAATAAATGTCACTGTTCTTGTTTCCTACAGATGAAAAAACTGAGGGTTATGTGCAGAGAAATTGGATGACACCCAGAGCCACACAGATTTGTATGTGGCAAAGGAGGATTCCATTTCAAGTCTTTCAACCCCAAATTCATCTTCCCTCCCCTATGGGAAAATAGTGCTATGAAATTCATGTAAGCCACAGAACTTGGATAAAAAGAATAGTAAGATCAGAAATAGTAAAAATTGGAAGAGGTAGATCCTCCTGTGTTTTCAATCAGTGTTCTACCTACCTATAACCCTTCTGGGGAAAAAAAAGCAGGATGTAGCTGAAACATAGCTCCTTTCTAGGACTCACAAATTTGGTTTTCTAGTCAATTACCTCTCTCTCTTCTTCAACTTCTCACCAAAGTAGCATCCTTTCCACTTCAAAGAAAAAACAGCCCCACTATTTCACACTCATTTATCATCAATCTAAAGTAACTATCAATCACAAAAGTCCCGTCTTTCCTTCTCTCCATAGAAACAAATTTCTCTAGGGAAGATTGTCAGTAGCAGCGGGGCAGACTGGGAAATGGCCTATGTCACCATCCCATGTAGAAATACCCAGTGCACATCCAGATCCCACACCCTCAAGAGGATTGTGCAATATCTGTTAATTTACAAGAGCTGTTTCCCATAGATGATGCTGCAGGTATTAGTAAGAAGGAGGAAGTTCAAGTGATGACACCATCGCTACTCCACCTTGGCTGGTCTCCAGGTGCCATCTCGTGATCCCTCCCTCCCCGCACTGTCCTCTCACTATCTCTCCTCCAAAGCCTGCACTCCCCACCAAGCTGGGTCAGTGATAAACACAGTATTCCACAGGCCTCTGATATAACATTCAACACACTAAAGATAATACTGTTTTTAAGGCTCCTGTCCCCCCAGGTAGACTCAAACTGTGCAGAGGAGGAGAGCTGTGACTTTATTCACTTTGCATCCTGGACACCCACACATAGTAGGTGTTCAGTGAACATGTGATGAATTGATCAATATCCACTAAATGTGCTATTTGCATTTCTGCTTCCCTGTGCTTCCTTCCACTGTTTCTATCACCTAAAATTCTTCTCCCTTTTTCCTCCACCCTCAAGTATGAGAAAATTTGTTTCCTTACTGGGTAGGGAGTCTTGGTCATTACACAAACATTTATGTAAAATGTTCTTCTGATTGGTATATTCAGTGCTATGTCCATATTCTTTCAAGTGAATTTTCTTTACGATAATAATACCTAGCCAAAGTTTCCAGGGATGCTCCCTTAGCTGCTCAAAACAACCTTTCATATATTAAATGCCAGTCAATATGAATCAGTGATAACTGAAGAAAAGGCTGACAGCCTATGAAGGAGTTGGAGTACAAAACTATGTTTATAAATTGGTTCTCACAAATGCAGACTTTTACCCATAGAAATTGTATTACGGATGCTGGTTATAGTTTGAGACTAGTTAATAAAATTCTACTTACTCCAAACACAGGATTAATGGAACCCACGTGAGTTGTGTGCTGTGAAAGTAGAGTCAAGGGGGGAAGAAGGAGAAGAAAATTTCCTCCCTGTTCTCATAGCTCAGGTCACCCAAGGGATTCTAGAGCATAAAGTGTGTTCCCTTCTATTTTTTACTGCCCTTATGCCCAAGCTGAACCAAATATTTACCTCTGCCCTCATTTTCAGTTACGGAGTTCACCCAGGCCCTTTTCAACCTTTGAGTTTCCTTAACCTTTATATTTCTATAATTTTTTCTAAACAAAATCCAGCTGATCTCTAATAGATGGTTAAAAGGATAGCAAATAGGTACATTAATCCACATTAAGGCACAAATGACTGCTAGCCATAACCCTTTAATGACTAATTAATTTTTAATAAAGAAGATGTGTTTATATAAATGAATTTATACTTCTAAGTTGGCGTAAGTTCAGAAACAATAATAAGATGAACTGGAAAATCAACAAGGTATAGGGAAATCCTCTGGGTGGGGAAGAGCTAGTCATACCTCCCTAAAAGCCTCGCCCTAGTTTCTGTTAAATTATTTCTTCTTTTCATCTTCTGTTTTCTAAACCACAAGTTCGAAAAACACCAAGGAATTTTCTATCTGTTTATTTTGTTTCAGTTTTATTTCTGTTTTCTTTTCCAAGGTGAGGCCCAGGTTGACATTGAGTACTCTTTGTGAAACTCTGCAGGGACCAAGATGTAATTTCACAGAAATTAGTCTCGATACTCTATATTGATAGCTGCAAGTTATATGCTGTTCATTTGTCCATTCAGCCTCTCATTCGTGAGATATTTATCATCTGCCTCCTGGAATGTACCAGGGCGTACACTAGTAAACAAGGAAACACGAGTAAACTTTAAACAGGCTCTCCCCACAAGCAACTGAGAGACCAGTGGAGAAGGCAGATATGTCAACAGATGATTATAATAAAGTGTCAAGGTTGGGAGCATGGCTCACGCCTGTAATCCCTGCACTTTGGGAGGCCAAGGTGGGTGGATTACCTGAAGTCAGGAGTTCAAGAGCAGCCTGGAAAACATGGCAAAACCCTGTCTCTACTAAAAATACAAAAATTAGCTGGGCATTGTGGTGCACACTGGTAGTCTCAGCTATAAGGGAAGCTGAGGCATGAGAATCGCTTGAACCTGGGAGGCCGAGGTTCCAGTGAGCCAGTATCATGCCACTGCACTCCAGCCTGGCCAATAGAGTAAGGCTCTATCTCAAAAAAAAAAAAAAAAAAATAGTATCAAACCTACATCCAAAGTGTCAAAGTGCTCAGAAAAGTAGGGAAGGCTTTACCAAAGATGAGACATTTGGGGTAGATGACACCTGTTTGTGGATGCTAATGTACCCCTGAGTAAAAGAAGAAGAGGGTGTAGATTATATAAGCCAGATACAAAAAGGAACAATAATGAGGACATACAACCAAAAACTTAGATAGGGAGAACAACTTACTCGGGGGAGGCAAAGAGGCCACTTAAGAACTCCTTCACATATGTCATCTCTTAAAAGCTGACTACTGGGGTTGTATCCCTTGCACAGCATCCCTTTGCACCAAAATGAACGCTACTCTAAGGATGTGTGTCAGCTCTCCTGAATGCCAAGCACAACCATGCTTGGCATGGCAGTGGTGTCTTATTTCTGCTCCTCTTCTTCCCCAGTGCATGCTGCTACAAGAGAATGCTCAGCCAAGTTCATCTGGGACCTGCTCCTACTGGAGCAATAGATTTGTGTGCCTATCACATCTGCCCACCTAGCTGTCCTGGCCTGTGCCCAATGTTGACCTTCATCTAAGAATGTGGCTGTACCACATTCAGTGATGTCACTCTCACTGCACCTTCAGTCTCCTTCCTGGGACCTCCTGATGGACTCTTACCCAGGGCAGAATGTGTTGATTTTGTAAATCACATAAATAAATAGCTTGACTGTTGACTATGTAGAAAATCAGCAAATATTTGCACGTCTTTGTGCAGCTCATTCCTGAGCATCTGCTTCTTCCCAGAATTCTAAAAAAAACCTGCTGCTTTCTCAAGCCCTCACTAAAGACATACTTTCTTGATAATACTGGCCAAATCTATTCATTTGACATCTTTGTTACACGAATAGTTAACCACAGAGTGAACTTCAGAAACGGCTGGCAGGTATGAAGCTTAGAAGATTCATGCACTTTTGCTAGACTGAGTTGGAAGTTAAATAGTAAGTGGTTACTGACTTCAGAGCCCTGGAAAACCATGGGAAAATCCTATTCCTCAAAGTCGAGCCCTCCCTCCTACCTCTCTTAAATCAATTGCCACAGTGACCAATTCATCAGTCACCTAAAGGCAGCTATTCTGACCACTTAAGGGAGAATACTAATAATCTTTATACCTAAGTAAAGATTGTGAGAGGAAATAAATGGTTTAAAGAATAAGATATGAATGTGTCACACTTCTGAAGTTAATGATAAATGAATTAGTCTCGCTTAGCTCAGGAAAAGCTTTCAGGTCTTTCTGAAAAACTAATTTAATTCAGTAGTATTTTCTAAGATTTAGGTTATGTTTTTAATCCATTTAGAAACTACAATTTACTTATAGAAAAAAAGGAAAGGACCTAGATAGGTTTGTTCATATAGAACCCAAATTCCATTTCTCTGGACAATACTTACCATTCTCTACAAAAGCAATTACATTCTAAAATGTAATGTGCATTCTTAGACTTTATCAGTTCACAGTGTTTCCTTAGGAAATATGAGCTAATATTTTTTCCTAAGACTAAAGTTGAGTGACTAGGTTTACGACTGAGAAATGAATGTTTGTTGTTTACAACTAGAATTCTTTTCTTACCATTTCATTTTTATTTTCCCCAGGTGCATTTGATATAGGGTTTGTGACAAATTCAACCCAGGAGATCAAAATGATTCTCAATTCTTCTACTGAAGATGGTATTAAAAGAATCCAAGATGATTGTCCCAAAGCTGGAAGGCATAATTACATATTTGTCATGATTCCTACTTTATACAGTATCATCTTTGTGGTAGGAATATTTGGAAACAGCTTGGTGGTGATAGTCATTTACTTTTACATGAAACTGAAGACTGTGGCCAGTGTTTTTCTTTTGAATTTAGCACTGGCTGACTTATGCTTTTTACTGACTTTGCCACTGTGGGCTGTCTACACCGCTATGGAATACCGCTGGCCCTTTGGCAATTATCTATGTAAGATGGCTTCAGCCAGCGTCAGTTTCAACCTGTATGCTAGCGTGTTTCTACTCACGTGTCTCAGCATCGATCGATACCTGGCTATTGTTCACCCAATGAAGTCCCGCCTTCGACGCACAATGCTTCTAGCCAAAGTCACCTGCATCATCATTTGGCTGCTGGCGGGCTTAGCCAGTTTGCCAGCTGTAATCCATCGAAATGTATTTTTCATCGAGAACACCAATATTACAGTTTGTGCTTTCCATTATGAGTCCCAAAATTCAACCCTCCCAATAGGGCTGGGCCTGACGAAAAATATTCTGGGTTTCCTGCTTCCTTTTCTGATCATTCTTACAAGTTATACTCTTATTTGGAAGGCCCTAAAGAAGGCTTATGAAATTCAGAAGAACAAGCCAAGAAATGATGATATTTTTAAGATAATTATGGCAATAGTGCTTTTCTTTTTCTTTTCCTGGATTCCCCACCAAATATTCACTTTTCTGGATGTATTGATTCAACTAGGCATCATACATGACTGTAGAATTGCAGATATTGTGGACACTGCCATGCCCATCACCATTTGTATAGCTTATTTTAACAATTGCCTGAATCCTCTTTTTTATGGCTTTCTGGGGAAAAAATTTAAAAAATATTTTCTCCAGCTTCTAAAATACATTCCCCCAAAAGCCAAATCCCACTCAAATCTTTCAACAAAAATGAGCACGCTTTCCTACCGCCCCTCAGATAATGTAAGCTCATCCACCAAGAAGCCTGCACCATGTTTTGAGGTTGAGTGACATGTTGGAAACCTGTCCATAAAGTAATTTTTTGAAAGAAGGAGCAAGAGAACATTCCTCTGAAGCACTTTGCCACCAAATGAGCATTAGCTACTTTTCAGAATTGAGGGAGAAAATGGATTATGTGGACTGAACCAACTTTTCTAAAGCTCTGAACAAAAGCTTTCCTTCCCTTTGCAACAAGACAAAGCAAAGCCACAGTTTGCATTAGATAGATGACAGCTGCTCAAAGAATAATGTCAAAAACTCCATGAATGTGTTGATTTGAGAAATTTTACTGGCAGAAATGCAGTATCCCTAGTCTGCTTTCGTCCTGTTCCTTTTTATTTCCACCTACAGGTATTTAGAGTGTATTAAATTGTTAGAGGAGCAACAGGAGATCAGAGTTCAAAATTGTTCTGTCCAATTTCCAAAAGGCAGGAAAGCTTTTGTGCCTGTTTTTAGCTATTAGCAACTGTGCCACACTTGCACCTGTTACTGCACATTTTGTACAAAGATTTGCTAAGCAGTAGTTGTCAAGTTTCAGAACTTTTTGTGAAATTCAACCCATGTCTTATAGGTTTACACTGCCAAAACAACGCCCATAAGATGGCTTATTTGTATAATGGTGTTACTAAAGTCACATATAAAAGTTGAACTACTGTAAAAGTGCTGCGCTGGTCCCAAGTGGTAGCGTCTTCCTAGTATATTTGTTTGATTTAATATCTGAGAAGTGTATATAGTTTGTGGTAAAAAGATTATATATCATAAAGTATACCTTCGTGTATTTAAAAAAGTTGTATCCTACATATATATATATATATATCCCTAAATTGCTGTTAATTAAAATCTGGCAAAGTTATATTTACTTTAAAATAAAATAATTTTATTGCAATGTATTTATCTTCATACATAAAATAGATACTTTATTTTAAAATATGACAACCTTGAATTAGTATGAATATATTTTTATTTAAATTTTGATAAAACTGATAGTCTAATACTATTGATTATAGATTTTGTATCCTGCCATTGAAAAGATAAAGAAAAAACATTTGTTCTACTGCATGACATGAAATAAACACAATGTTTTGAATTATTTAGTTTTTGACATAACAAAGAAAAAATTAACTCTTGCTATAACGCTAAAATAATATGTTATTTTACTTGTAAGTTGTTTAATAACAGAATATTTCTAGTTGTATACATTATCATTGTAGGAAAGTTAGAAGATATACATAAAAATGAAAGTCATGTTTAGTTCCCCCAGTCAAAACACTATTTTAAAGTTTGGGAACTTTTCTCTGCTTTTTTCATTTATTATACACACATATATGTGTAAATCGTGATATTGAAGTCATGATGTGTATATTTCTTTGTATATAGTTTTTTCACTTAATGTCATAGCAGTTTCCTACCCAGTTAAATATTTTTCTAAAACGTTAATATTTGTATAATGTTACAAAATATGGACATACCCCGATATAATTAGTCACCAAATTGGAACATTGAAATATTTTCTAATTTTTCACTATTATAAATTACACTGAGACATGCATTTAAGTATGTGAATCTGAGAAATTTTCCATACTCCTAGAGGTGGTACAACTAAAATACACATGAACATTTTTAAATATTCAAACTATATGTTGTCAAATATTTCCCAGAAAACATAACAATTTACAACACCACCAACTAGGTATGAATATATATATCTCACTGTAACCTCAGCATGGGGTATTTACTAAATCTTTTTTTTTTTTTTTTTTTTTTTTGAGACAGTGTCTCACTCTGTCACCCAGGATGGAGTGCATGGAGTGCTTGCAGTGGTGTGATCTTGGCTCACTGAAGCCTCATCCTGCTAGGTTCAGGCAATCCTCCCACCTCAGCCTCCTGAATAGCTGGACTACAGGCCTGCACCACCGCTCCTGGCTAATTTTTTATATTTTAGAGAGATAGAGGTCTCACTACACTGCCCACGCTGGTCCCCAAACTCTTGGCCTCAACTGTTCCTCTCACCTTGGCCTCCCAAAGTGCTGGAATTGCAAGCATGAGCCACCACACCCAGCCTAAATTTAAGCAGAAAGGAGAGATTTACTATAAGGATCCAGTTGCCACATGCAAGGGCCAGGATGCAACTGTGCCTGAAAATTGTACTTTAACATTTCTGCTCCCATTGCATGGTTGCCTCATTCTTCAGTTTACAGGATTTCAATGCTCCTGAAGTTCATACAGGGCAGGCTGAAGTGTTCATTCTGGCCCAATAAACTGTGGCCAAAGGGTTAGAGTTATGTGTAAAATAATTGATGGTTGCTGTGGGCAAGGGGCTATCACCTCAGAGAGGCCTTGGTGACCGGGCAGAATTTCCACAAAGCAGACTATATTACGCTCACGTTTCCAAATATAAAGTTTTTTTGTGAATAAATATGGTTCCATATGCCTCATATTATTTATATTATTTTTAATTTCATTAATGTAATGCCAGCCACTCACCCCAAAGGTCTTTTACTATTTTCACAAAGGATCACCTCTAAAAAATAAATTTTACCTCATCCCAAGTCACAGCACAAACATCCATCCTGTAGGAAATCCCTCCAGATTAGTTTCATAACTGTTTTTTATTTTCTTTTTCAATAGTCTAGGATTTTTTTGTGTTTTGTTTTGTTTTGTTTTTTCGAGATGGAGTCTTGCTCTGTTGCCTAGGCTGGAGTGCAGTGGTGTAATCTCAGTCCACTGCAACCTCCACCTCCCACTTCAAGCGATTCTCCTGCCTCAGCCTCCCAAGTAACTGGGATTACAGGCACATGCCACCATACCTGGCTAATTTTTGGATTTTTAGTAGAGATGGGGTTTCACTATGTTGGACAGGCTGATATCAAACTCCTGACTTCAGGTGATCTGCCCACCTCAGCCTCCCGAAGTGCTGGGATTACAGGTGTGAGCCACCATGCCTTGCTCAATAGTTATTTTAATCCAAATGACTGTAAGCATTTTAAACTTACTGAACTATTTCACAGGTTATAGTTGATAAGATTTCTCATAGATAATTGTAGTTAGATATCCCCTATATCATGTATTTATTAATGGTGTTAATAACATGTTCCATGACTCATTTTTATTTTATCAAATCCTGTAGGGATTTTACCCCATCTCACTTGTGAAATAGATGTTATTAACCTTGATGATTATTCTTGCTTTTTCAGTGAGATCAACCTAATATTGGAGTTGAGGCCTTACCAAAATGTTAGGATAGGATGTCATTATGAATTCTTCATGAACATATTTACAGGTTAGGTAGACTCCTTTTTTTGGTACATTTAAAAAGTTCATACAGAAAAGAATATTTACCATAAAGATCTAGGTGCCCAACAGATTGCAAAAGCTACATTTATATTGAAATATATATTTCAATATATACCCACTTCTGAGGTATAAATTTCAATACACATAATTTAAAATTCACCTCATTCTAAACTTTTGAGGGGGGAAAAGGCTGGTCAGATTTCTAATGCTGGCTCTTTCTCACTGTGGAAATTCATCTTTTTGGACTCCAGTTACATCATTTCTCAAGTATGCTGAGTTGGCTTGGTGAATAAAGGCTTTTATCTAGTCAGTAATACACTAATTCATGGATTTAGTAAGCGTTGCATTGTTTCCCTACTCTGTGCTGGGTACAAGAGGTGTGTAACATACAGCAGCTTAGCATGCAGGATAAAATCATGGCTCAGCTGCTGTGAGCAGTATGAAGGAGAGCCAAGTGAGAAGCAGCTTGATTGCAAAGCACAGAAAGGCTCTCAGAGTTTTGATACCACAGATTTTTCAGTTTCATAACTCTGTATACTGGTGCATTTTTTCCAACAGTATGTGCCAATCTGGGGAACTAGAGAAGACAAACTAGACTGAGACAGGTCACAGAAGTGATGAGGGAAGAAAACAAGTTTCAAGGAATTTCAGATACTTGGTATGAAGGGTGAGACATCTGACAGTAAAGAAAGTAAATCAAGAGCAAGAGAGAGAGAGGCTGAGTGGACAGGAGGTTGGAAGTAGCCACACACTGCCCCCAAGGCCAGGGTTCAGATGGCACAGGAGAGCTGCACACAGACCCTCCGGGCCCCAGGACCATGTTGGATCCACTGGGTCCAGACCAACATGAGGAAGAGGGCAACCAAGTATTAGGGTGGGAAGCAAGCCATAAACAGTAGATGAAATGATTTGGGGCAAGATCCAACCATATGGATTTTATATAGTTCAGAATATATGATTATATATTGGAAGTAATGATCAGAGAGTTAAATTTTCCAAATTTAAAATTTTAACTGTGTCAGTCAATATGTAACATCAAAAACTGTATCCAGCCTTGTCTACTTGTGTAGTGAACGCCCATGGAACCATCTGAACAGTGTCCCTTCTCACCTCATCACAGGAATGTTCTGTCCCACCCAGGGACAGCACTACCTCAGAATGAACCATTTTCCTACCTAACTCCATCCCCAGAGCACAGTTAACTGGTCCAAGCTTGAAGTGAACCACTCAGTTTTTCATAACGATTTTTCAAACAGGCGCTGCTGATGAGTTGGCCCCAGTGCTGGCATTTCTGAGGTGTAAGCTGGACACCAGCAACATCCTCACCGCATGGAAGAAGCTAGTCTGCATGCAGAGTGAAGTAAACAGAAAAGGCAAGAGAGCTGTGGACATGTTTGAGTCCTTGCTTCTACCTGCCTCTTATGTCCAGCCGTATCCCTGCCCACCCCTCTCCAATCAAGGAACTGGAATACAGTGATGCATAGCTAAGATCTGACAGTGTTTCTTCCTCCTTATGATCAATAAAAATTTCCCGTTTGTAGCGGCCAGCACATCATCCATTGGCCACCTAGTAGGAGTGATACCATCTACATCCCAAAACTTCTTGGTCTCTATCTTAATAAGAGATCACAAGTGCTACCCCACTCCCATATGTCTCCTTATGAGAGGGTAAGAGCCAGGACGTTCAATAGTGTGTGTTAAGGGGGAAGACACATGGTGATACAGAAGGACCAATAGTGAGAGGGGTCTGAGGCTACTACACTATCTACTATTATTAATTTTTGTAAACTGAGGTCTCTCCCAGAGATGGCTCAGAGGTAAAATACTCTTCTGTTTCATGAGCAATTATAAAAAATATGATCTAGACCATGAAATCATAAGCAGAGAGAGGAACTTAGAACTCATCACCACTTGAGGGCCCAAACGTATGGCTTGCCTGTTGCCTGGCTCTCTTTACTTGACAGTGACCTGGAAGTTCTCTGGGTTTCATAGAGCCAGTGAGCACCAACCCTTCCCAAATCCAATGGAAAGGCCTTTACTTACCAAGCTAACACATCTTACTTGAGAAATGATGTAACTGAGGTTGAAAAATATGCATTTCAATAATCAAGAAGAGCCAGAACTAGAAATCAAACTAAGATTTTTCCCCCAGAAGCTGAGAATAAGAGAATTTAGCTTTAATAATATTTAATTCTAAATCATTCATATACCAGGAAGTTTTGTATAATAATCCTCTAAGAGTTTAAAGACCATAAGATTTACCCTTCAAGCAGTGTAATAGGAAAATATTTATCTATATACACAAGAGATGTAAATTTGATGAAAAAATGATGTTAATTTAAAAACTATTAAAAGCCAGTTTGCTACTATGATTATTTTGCTTCAAGTATCCAAATGATGATGAGCCAAATATGCCCCTGAGCCCAGTTCTTGATTCATTCCATGCCCTATGAAGACTCTTTAGAAAAATTGAACAAGATGAGAAAAAGGGATCCTGGCTCAACCTCCCAGTGAGTTGGGATATATCTCACAGAACTTTTTCCCAAGCCTGATGAAGTTCTGCTGTGCCATATGGACATGTACAGTTGCTAA